TTTTTTTTGTTCCTCGAACGCCTTCAGGGCACTTTTGGCCAGCGGGAGAGTTGTGAGGTTCGAACTCCAGCAACCTGAGGCTGACAGCTTTGTGGGAGCAGCCACTTAAAGGCCTGAGCTAGGGCCAGGCCCCCTGAGCAGTGTATATACTAAACAGCAGATTAACCCTACTTGTTCATTTACACAGTAGGCTTGTCATTTATGTCATTACCATATAAACTATCATACCATAATTGCAAAAATGGCAAAAGGCAATCTTTATTTTATTTTTATTTTTATTTTTTTGGTGGAACCAGGGAGGCAATCTTCATTAAAGCTTTAAAAATCCTTTTAATGGGGGCCAGGGAGATGACTCAGTGGAATAAGTGCTTCCCTGGCAAGCACAAGGGCCTGAGTTCAATCCCCCGGCTCCCCCCCAAAAAAATCCTTTTAATAAAGGCAACCAAAGCTGTCCTTACTTTCTGTGAAAAGCACCTTTCCTCCTCCTTTTTGCTCCTTGAAGGCACCTTTTATAGCATGTTAGACACAGAGATGTGTAAGCTCTTTTCCTGGGTTAGCCTTCTACAGGGCTGCTTTCCTTTCTGGCATGTTGGATTGTTAAAAAGGTACCAGGATCAGACCCTTAGTTTCAGATTTTTGTCCCTATTTAGGTCATCCTAGAATTATTTCCTCAGAACAGGTAACTCAGAACTTAAGGAACCCTGAGGAAATGGATGATGAAAAATAACAACTTGTAACTATAACATTCAAGTTTAAATATATTAACACCTTCCTGGAACTGTTACTCAGGACAAATAGAATAACTTCCTGAATATCAACATAAAAATAGAGTACATTTATTAACAGTAGGAAAACTCCCATATTTAAAGCAACAATGTTAATCTTACATAATAACACACTGACCAGTTTAACATTTCTACATGTTACAAATTCCCTGCCAGATACTCTTAAGAGTTATCCACAAAACCTGTCCAACACATACTATCAACATTTAACAAGACATGGCATTCATTTCACAGGGAGAAAAATAAGTTTCGTCACAAAAACAGACTTGCTGGATTTTAGTCTGAAATTCTAGAGATAACTTTTAAAGATTAAAAAAAAAATTCACTTCCAAAATAAAAGTCTTTATATAGCTCATTTTTAATGCTCTTTATGCTTGTACAATGTAAAACACTTAGAAACTTTTGAACTCTAGAAATTCTGAACAATTCAATCTATTTGGCTTTAACATTGTCTAAGTTCCCTTCTGGGACTCTCACGGGTGTTCTCAGTCCATTGGTCCGACGTGGATGGGAAATCCTATTTTTTCTTCCTCTTCCTCGGAGGCTCCTCCTCAGAGCTGCTCTCTGTGCTGCTGCTGCTGCTGCTGCCACCGCTGCTACTGCTGCTGCTGGCAGAGCTTGAGTCTGAGTCCGAGGAGGAGAAAGAGGTTGTGGAGGAGGACGAGGAGCTGGAGGAGCTGGAGGAATCGCTGTCCTCTGAGGAGGAGGTAGATGAGTCTTCACTCTCTGAGGAAGAATCGCTGGCTGAACTGTCGTTGCTGTCACTACTGGAACTCGTTACACTTTTGGCCCTGTTAGACAGCAAAAGTCATTCATGTGAAGCTGGCATTTCAGAGAATGCTCAAAGCAACTCACAGGACATCACCCAGGCACATGCACCCTGAGGTTCTGCTAGCATGGTGCCCCCAGACTAGACGCTTGGGGGGTCACTTGTGAGCCCCACCCCGTCCCTTTACAAGGTCTGGCTGCTTCAGCAAGCACAAAGCCTCTCAGCTTCCTCACCACTACAGAAAGGAGTTCCCCATAAATGTGTCTCCTGTATTACGCTTCAGAGTGGAAAAGATCCCAATGTCATTGGAGTATAACAGTTGAATTTATTTAAATCTCAGGCAAACTAATAAACATTTCATGTTCTTTATTCTGTTTATTTTTAAAGTGGTACTGGGGGTGCTGGGGAGATAGCTCAATAGAATAAGTGCTTTCCTGGCAAGCACAAGGGCCTGAGTTCAATCTCCGGATCCGCAAAAAAAAAAAAAAAAAAAAAAAAAGTGGTACTGGGGACTGAACCCTAGGCCTCGCACAAGCTCTCCTACTACCACTAGGCTATATCCTTGACCCTCTGTAAAATTGTATTTTTGAGTAGGGTACCACTGAGTTTCCCAAGCAGCTAGAGTCAGAAACCCTAGCATGCCCAGCATATTCTTTATTTTAACTACTTTGGATCAGATATGACTCGTCAGTGATTCTTTTTTTTTTTTGGGGGGGGGGAGTTTACCAGAGATGGAACTCAGGACCTTGCGCTTGCCAGGCAGGTGCTTATGCTGCTGAGCTATCTCCCTGGCCCCTTGCCAGCAATCCCTAAGCAATCTAGTAATTCTTCCTTCTCCTTCCCCTTTCCCTCCCCCTCCCCCCATCACCTTCCCCCTCCTCTGCTTTCTGCTTCTTTTTTTAAAATGTATTTGGTACAGGGTCTCACTATGCAGCTCTGTAATCCTAGTAGTAATCCTAGTGATCCTCCTGTTTTCAGCCTCCCCAGTGCTGGCATTATAGGCATTCAGTGTTCTTGGGGTTGGGGCCAGGGCAGCATGTGGTGCCAGAGATCAAACTTGGTCCCTGCGCTTGCCAAGCAGCTGCCTAATCCGCTGAGCTACCTCACAAGCCCTAATAATCCCTATTCTAAGCCAATTTCTATTTCCAAGTCTAATGACTCTAGAAAATTGTAGGAAAAGGAGAAATGGCAGCAATACTCAATTATGACTAGCAAACAAGAGACTTCAAACACAAACTTTATAACTATTACTTCAAAATCACTGTTCCATCCTTCTAACCAGTACTACTGGTTATCTATAGCATTATCTGTAGGATACTCCCAAAGTCATACATACCTTTTCTTTTTGGTTTTTCTTTCTATATTAGTTTCTCCAATGCTGATGAACAAAAGAGGAAAAAAAGCTCCTGTTAATAGCACAATTACATACAGCTGTCCTACCAATTTGATTTGAAATTGTCTCATTGCTATTTGTTTATCAATAAAATTATGAGAAAAAAAATAACCTGACCCAGCCAGGGTTGCCCACCCCCATCCTACCTGAAAACAAACAAACAAACAAAAAACCAAAAAGCCATTACATACAGCTCAGACAAACCCTTCTGCTATCTCTCAGGCTATTTTACTTTAGACGAATACTGTCTCTTGTAATCCATACTCAGAGCACAGTATTTTTTGCTATAACCAAGCAGCAAAACTGTTTATTTATGTATGTGTGGGTTGCACTGGGGATTGAACCCAGGGCGTCATAGTCAGCTGAATCTCACCCTCTTTAAACATTCTAAATTTTAATACTGGGTGTGGAGGCGCACACCTGTAAGCCCAGTACTCTGGAGGCTGAGGCAAGAGGATTGTTGAGAGTTCAAGACAAGTCTGGGCTACAAAGTGAGCTCAGGGCCAGCCTGAACCCATAGCAAGACTCTGTCTCAAAGACAATTAATAATTAATTTTGAAGCAGGGTCTTGTTGAGTTACTAAGTTGCCCTGGCTGGACTCCAACATGCAGTATCTTCCTGCCTCAGCCTCCTAGAATACTAGCATTACAGGTGTGCAGCACCACATGGTCACGTTCTAGAGTAGGGGAGAGGATAGCCCTGGGAGACAGTGGCATTGAAAAGCAGGATGCAGGGGTCCTGCTGAGAGGCCAGGGCCAGTGAACAATGGACCCACTGGGGGGAGGCGGGGACACCAGGTCAGCATGAGTCACACAAGAGTACTGGGCTCCTGTGGGCACCCTGTCTCCATCCTACAGGGATGCCAGCATCCGGCACATTCCTGGGGGCTGACAGCCACCTTAGACTTCCAACATGAGCATGAGCAGAGTCACATCTTGGCCTGCAGGGTTGAGTTCTGCTCCTCGTTCCTACACTGAGGGCAAGAGCCACATGTCCAACACTATAGAAAACTTTTTTTTTTGGCAGAAGCAGGGATTGAATTCAGGCCCTTGCGCTTGGCAGGGAAGTGCTTATTCTATTGAGTCATCTCCCTGGCCCCCTAGAAAACTTTCTTTTCATTTACTTATCGTTGCTGTTTTCCTCTTTCTCTTCATTTTCCTCCCACTGTGGGTGTGTGCTCTCCTTCTTGCCCTCTTCCTCCTATGTAGAGAGGCAATGGAGTGCCCTGCCCCTTTTCACTCCTTCAATTCTTACCCCCATCTTTTCATCTGACTTTTTTCTCCTGTTTCTCATCTTTCCTGTTTTTCTTTTCTTTCTTTTCCCCTTTTATCTATCTCCCTTTAACTTTTTCTCTAATTTTTACATTAGCCACAGAATCTTTTCTCATTCACATATCCCACTACTGATTTTACACCCAGCTGTACCTGTTAAGACTATCTAAATATATAACATACCTCTACCCCCATAGGCTCCCCCGCCAGCTCCTCCTTCTCATATCTCACTGTAGAAGAATAAACAAAAATCTCCCCCAGTCCATCTCTGGTGCTATGTAGATCCTAACTCTCTATGCTTTATTTATTTTTTTTGGTGGAACCGGGGATCAAACTCAGGCTCTTGCACTTGCCAGGGAAGCGCTTATTCCACTGAGCCATCTCCCTGGCCCCTCCTCTATGCTTTAGATAACTGATTCTATAATTACTCTTAAATGCTGAGAGAGAGAGAGAGAGAGAGAGAGAGAGAGAGAGAGAGCAAGCGAGAGCACGAGGGAGAGTGCACAGCTATGCATTTAGTGCTTACTAGCTCTGGGTCAGTATTTGGGCTGCTATGATGCTTTCCACTGTAACTGGATCTTTTCTGTGTACTAAAAGGAGATCCAAAAGTGGGACTTGTGGAATGTTTCCAACTTGCCCAGAGAGATACAAGTGTGACTCATTAGCTTACGACTGTAGCCATTGTGATGGCACATGCACTCTCCTGACCCAGTGGGCAACTCTGTGCCTGGGAGTCAGACTGCTGACTCCGTCACACCCAGGGGAAAGGACGGCAGGAGTTCCTGACCCGAGTACTCAGACTAGACCAGACTGTGTGAGAATAGCACAGCTAGGAGGAACTACCCGCTCAGGCCCCCTCCTGTCCCTCTCTTGGACAGGAGCTTTCTCTCAATAAATATGTTCTGCTCAAAAAAAAAAAAAAAAGCACAGCTGGGAGAATGAAGTCCCAGGTCCAAGTCAGCTTGGAGGGAGCACAGCAGTTACGGGTGAGAGCACTCAGACTCTCCAGTGAGGAAGCTGCATGTGAACTACAAGTGAACTGTCTTGCTGGGATATTTAATCTGCACTCCCACTGGGTATCGTAAAGGTTTGAGTTTTTGTTTCCTGATTTATGTAGTAATATGGAGTTATGCTATGCTCCTATATGGGTATTGTGTTTATTACCTCTGTGTGTTTCTTCTCAGAAATCCCCAGCCGGCTCTCCTGTATGTCACCTTGCCTACTGTCTTCACTGTCAGCAGCTTCTGACAACTACATAGCTTTCCTCAATCACAAGGTAAACCTCCCTCCTCCATGACTCACTCCTGCCCCTACAGGTAACTCTGAAAACTCTCAACACTAACCCTTCAACTCACCTAAAAGTCCGCCAATAGAATCAGATGCCACATCCACTCTTTCTTTTCAGCTACCACTCTCCCCCCTTTACACATCCCCCCGTAGTGTCTAACATTCCTCATCTAACTACCTCCCCTTCTCCCTCATTACACCAATTCCACTACAGAACAACTACGAGTAACAAATGGTCCTAGTATGCATAAAAATAGACAAAAGGGTAAGTAGAACTGCAAGTATTATCCTGTAGAAACATGGCATGACTGAACCTATGGATGCTGTTACAACCAGAATTCAGCAAAACATAAGGATAGGATCCAAATCACTTAAAGTAAATAACAGAGTAAATACTTACACTAGAGATACAAAACTGAAAACTGTTGGGGGGCAGCATCCTACGAAATATCTCCATATAAACCACAAACTCTCCTTACTCTTCTAGTCCTCAACCTGCAGTACCCTCTCCAAAAGAGGGGGGGAAAGGAGGGGAAGACAGATAAGACAGACAGATGAGCATGGGGAAGCAGGCAACAGAAGCTCCCCAAGTTCATACAACACTGGCAAGAAAGAGCAAGGGGTCACAAAAGGAGAAGAAAATAAGTACAAGGCAGCAGGACTCTGAAAAGTTCTCAGAAGGGGTATTGAAATTAAATGAGCTTGGGGCTGGAGAGACGGCTCAGTGGTCTAAAAGCACCTACTTGGAACAAGCTTGGCAAAGCACAGGGACTGCGGTTCGATCCCCAGCACCACATGCCAGCCAGCCCCGCCCCCAGGTGGGCTGAACTGCCCCCCCACACACACACACTAAATAAATGTAAAAAAAAAAAAAAAATGCTAAAAAAATAAAAGAAATTAAATGAGCTCAAAGATGAAGCAAACCAGAAGTTCAGAGCAATTATGCTCAACCTCCCCACAGGGAATTTCAGGGAAATACATAAAAAACTTGACAAACAAACCAAAGTAGTTCAAATTTTAAATGACAGATTCAACAAAGATATGGAATCCGCAAAAAAAAAAAAAAAAAAAAGCCTCAAAAAATACCTGAAATAAAAAACTAATGAATTTATAAATGGCATAAAATTATCAATTGAAGACAAAATCTAACACTGAGCATAAATAGTGAATTACAAAAAAGAGCTCGAAGAATCCAAAAATAAAAATCTGCACTGGAGCCAGGAAGCAATGCTCAAGATAAGAACCAGAGCTCCCCAGAAAGGTACCACAGTCATCCTCAGCAACAGTGAGGTCCCAAGCTTCTCTGATGATGAAAGCAGCTGAGTCGGGGGCCGGGGAGATGGCTCAGTGGAATAAGCACTTCCCTGGCAAGCATAAGGGCCTGAGTTCAATCCCTGGTTCCGCAAAAATAAATAAATAAAATCATAGAAGAAAATTTCCCAAATATAATAAAAGAGATTGAAATATAAATAAATGACACAGAATACCAATTATGATGACAAATAAGCCACCAAGGCATAGTCTTATTAACATACAGCCAGCAAAAAACTAGAACTTTATTTATTTTTTGTTTTTGTTTTGTTTTGCAGTGCTGGGAATCGAACTTGAGACCTTGCACTTGCCAGACAGGCACTTATGCTGCTGAGCAATATCCCTGGCCCAAAAACTAGAATTTTAAAAGCAGCTGGAGAAAAGGAGAAATTCACATATAAAAGCAAAACAACTGGAATCACAGAAGACTTCCCAACACAAACCCTAAAAGCCAGGAGAGCTTGGAATGAAGTGTTGAAAACTCTTAAGAGCAAATCACTTCCAATCCAGATTAATTCATCCAGAAAAGATTTCCTTAAAATATAGAAATAAGGTATTTTCATGAAAAAGACCAGCTCAAAAGGTACATGAGTATTAAAGCAGTTCTTAAGAAAATATTCAAAAAAAGAAAAAAAGAAAGGGGCTGGTGAGATAGCTCAGCGATCTAAAGGGCCTACTTAAGCAAGCACACAGGGACCGTGATTTAATCCCCAGAACCATATGCTGCGCCAGCCCTGCCCCCAGGGTAGGCTGAGTCAGCCACACAAAAAAAAGAAAAAGAAAAAGAAAAATATTTATATTTAGGTATATTCTTTACAGAACTCAGAAAACGGACAGAGCAAAAAAAAAAAAAAAAAAACAAAAACCTAGTGGAAATTAGTGAGAACAATAGATAAACAGTAACAAAATAAAGTCAGGAAAAGAAAAAGAACAGATATACCAATAGGTAAAGAAGACAATGACATGAAAAAAAAAATTTGGGTCAAAAACCAAAACAGAATCCAACAGTCTGTTGCACTCAAGAAACTCACCTAACCCAGACGGATATTTATAGATTCAAAATTAAATGATAGAAAACAATATTTCATATACCAGGACCCCAAAACAAGCAGAGAT